GGGTTAGCACTCTGGCTGCCGCATCTCCCCCCCAGTTAGCACTCGGCTGCCACGTCTCCCCCCAGTTAGCACTCGGCTGCCACGTCTCCCCTCAGTTAGCACTCGGCTGCCACGTCTCCCCCGCGGGTTAGCACTCCAGCTGAAGAGGAGAGTCACCAGGCACTGCTGTGAGTTATCAACTTGTGCAGTTTCAGCACCCTTAACCTCCACGGGAAGCTCCCAGATTCCTAAGCGTCACTAAAGCCCAGGAGGGCTCATGCCTGACACAGCACGAGCCTCTCAGGGGCCCTGACGTGGACTCCCACGGTGGAGGCTGTCACCGCATGCCAGGTGCACGCTGGGGCCTTGGCCGCCAGGCCCTGACTGCAGGGTCATGGGAGCCACCCCTTTCAAGGGCAGATAGATATGCTTGGAGAAAATAAAAACTGGCCACAAACACACAAACCTCAGGAATCTCAATGAGGGGCACAAGGAAACGGGATAGCCATCGGAAGATGCAGGAAATGCCAACGGGCTCCTGCTGTCTGACACCCAGGCCCTGGGGAAAGGAAGGCCCGGCCGCCCGTCTCTTCCTGGACCACCACATCCCTGGCTGAGTATTGAGACCAAGTCTGGGGGTGGCACAGGGCAGTGCAGGGCTGGTGGATTCGCCATCCATTCCCAAGCCCCAGCTGGCCTCTCCCTGGGTGCAGGGAAAGCTCGCACCCCAGCACGCAAGGCGCCCACACCTGGGCGTGTCTGAGGCCTCAGGGGGTACACTTGCGGCTTTTTCTTCAATCCAGCTTTACTGAAAACACAACTCGGGTATTAGTGTGGAAAGATCTGCACACTCCCAAGGCACGTTTTATTTAGATGTATTTATTACAATTCCAGTCGGGAGGAGACGCCCACACCTGCTCCCTCCTGGCGCCAGGGTCTGCTCTGCGGTCTGCAGGGGGATGCTCAGCATCGCTTGGGTTCCACTTCCTGCTCACTGGGGACCATGGTCAGGCAGCCCTGCGACACACAGCGCTGGCCTCAGTCACACGGCTGATGCGAAGGTTTCACTTTCCTTAAGTGTAGACAACCATTTACAAACTTTGGGGGGGTGCTAATTTTTTTTATTTTTTTATTTTTTGAGACACAGTCTCGCTCTGTCGCCCAGGCTGGAGTGCAATGGCACAATTTCAGATCACTACAACCTCCACCTCCCGGGTTCAAGCAATTCTCCTGCCTCAGACTCCCAAGTAGCTGAGATTACAGGAACCTGCCACCACGCCTGGCTAATTTTTGTATTTTTAGTAGAGATGGGGTTTCGTCATGTGGGCCAAGTTAGTCTTGAACTCCTGACCTCAGGTGATCCACCCTCCTCTGCCTCCCAAAGTGCTAGGATTACAGGTGTGAGCCACCGCACCCAGCCTATTTTTCATACTGAAAGAAAGATGGATTAGAATGTTAGTGGCCGAGCTCTGAATAAACCCCCTGGGAACACACAGGGTACAAAGTAGGATGGTCCACAAATCCAAGGAGAGACACTGCATGGAAAAAAGGCTTGTCTACATTTAATGCTACTACAAAAGGTCTCTCCAAAGGATTCCATTTTTCTTTCTTTCTTTTTTTTCTTTCTTTCTTTTTTTTTTTTTTTGAGATAGAGTCTTGTGCTGTTGCCCAGGATGGAGAACAGTGGCACGACCTCGGCTCACTGCACCCTCCACCTCCTAGGTTCACGCGATTCTCCTGCCTCAGGCTCCCAAGTAGCTGGGACCACAGGCGTGCGCCACCACACCTGGCTAATTTTTGTATTTTTAGTAGAAATGGGGTTTCGCCATGTTGGCCAGGCTGGTCTCAAACTCCTGACCTCAGGTGATCTACCTGCCTCAGCCTCCCAAAGTGCTGGGATTACAGGCGTGAGTCACTGCGCCCGGCCAGGATGCCATTTCAAAAAGGAATCCGCTTTCCCCATGCGGCGGGCAAAGGAGGTGAGAGTCTAAGAGCCAGAGCAGGGAGAGATGCACGTGTGGGTGCCACCTGACGAAGGTTCCACAGGATGCCGATTTCTGAGCCCAGTGTAAAATATTTTGTTATCGACACGGGAGCCTGTTTGTGAACGTTGGAAGGCAATCCTGTTTTGGATCAGAACAATGCAATCTCGGCTCACTGCAACCTCCGCCTCCCAGGTTCTCTGCCTCAGCATCCTGACTAGCTGGGACTACAGGTGCCTGCCACCATGCCTAGCTAATTTTTGTATTTTTAGTAGAGTTGGGGTTTCACTTTGTTGGCCAGGCTGGTCTCGAACTCCTGACCTCATGATCCACCCACTTCAGCCTCCCAAAGTGCTGGGATTACCGGCGTGAGTCACTGCGCGCAGCCGTCTTATATAATTTTATCTCCCAAATACACAACAGCAACAAACCTCATTGCGAGGATGTTCTCACTGTTCTGGCTGGCCTCTACCTAGCACCACGTGGCTCTCAAACTGTATAAAACTGCTTGTAGGAGCCATTGCAAACAGAGAAAGTGTGATGTTTTCACCTTGGTAGTCAGTATGTTTTTCTTTTCACATACACATACATATGTTAGTTTTTAAGTGTTTTTACCCCTCTTCTGAAGAGTCTATAGAAGAAGCCTCTGTTTGGTCTGGAAACCGGGGTATGTATGTTCTTGTCTAGATCTAACGGCAAAGCTTTCTCCCTTTCACTTTTGTTGATGTCTTTGAAACACCCAGATTCGATCATCTGCATGCACAGAAGAGCAGGACAGAGAAGTCTCAGAGAAGCTTCCAGGTCAGTGGGTGTCTCCCAGCGCCAGCAACTCCTGCCCAGCCCCGTGCGGAGCAGCTCCTACCCAGTCCCGTGTGGGGCACCTCAGAGCTCCCGCACCCACTGTGAGGTCCCTTTCCTGGGTTCCTCCTTCCCTGCTTCCTGACCTCTTCTTGGATAAGTAACATGGTCTCCTCTCCCCTTGTCTCTCAGTGTACCCCCCAAAGTGGGGAACTACCATGGGAACCCTGGCTGCCAGTCAGCCCTGCTTAGGGAGGGGGGCTCAGGGGTGGCAGGCAAGCACCCATCAGACCCAAAATAGCTACCTCCTGTCCACTTCCTGTCACTGGGACCAGGGACATACCGTGCTTCTGGACTGCTGATATGGTCCTTGGCTTCCCCATGGTCTAGTCCTGTGGTCAAAAGTCTTATACAATCTTTTTTTTTTTTTTCTTTTTTTGAGACGAAGTCTCGTCCTGTCACCCAAGGTGGAGTGCAGTGGCGCAATCTCGGCTCACTGCAACCTCTGCCTCCCAGGTTCAAGCGATTCTCCTGCCTCAGCATCCTGACCAGCTGGGACTATAGGCGCCTGCCACTATGCCCAGCTAATTTTTGTGTTTTTAGTAGAGTTGGGGTTTCACTTTGTTGGACAGGCTGGTCTCGATCTCCTGACCTCGTGATCTGCCCACTTCAGCCTCCCAAAGTGCTAGGATTACAGGCGTGAGCCACCACGCCCAGCTGTCTTGTATAATTTTATCTCCCAAATACACACACACACACACACACACACACACACACACACCCTTTTCCCGGGTCATTGCTGGAACTAACGTAAAGCTGCTGTGCTAGAAGGGCAGTACCTCATTCTGCCAGGGGATGGAGACACACCCTGTAGCAAACTGAGCGTAGAAGTCTTCATCTGCGGTGTCCAGGTAGATCCCTTTCACTGCCGAGAACTGCTCGATATCCAGGACATCCTTACAGTAAACGGCATGAGGCTGTACAGCAAGAACAGAGGCAGCCTCTGAGGTCACTACAGCAATTCTCAGCTCCCTCAGTTCCCAGGAACGAAACGCCCAGCAAACTGACGCATAAACACTGCCATTCTTCCTCTCTCCATTTCTTTGCCAGGCCCCTCCCTCACTTGAGGCATTTTCTAAATCAGAGAATGTGTCCTCTGAAGACGTGGTTCACCAGCTTTTAGTGTCACCAATCTTGTGGGTACTGTGTCAGCTGCTCTGGCTCTCTCCCTCTCTCTCTCTTTCTCACTCACACACACACACACATACACACACACCCCCCTTCTGAGGGCCATGCCCTTCTCTTTTCTGTAGTGGAAAATGGATTGCAAACAAAGGCCAGGGATGCAGGGCAAATATTAGAAGATGCAGCACAGAACCAGAGAAGTGTAAGCAGGGATAGAGGCCACCAGCAGTGGGATCCCTTAGCGACAATTCTCGCACCTGCCTCCAACTCTAGGTGCGCTCCCTGCAAAGCGCCTGGAGAAAACCTGAGGAACAGCTGCAGCTCCCACTTCCCGCCCTCCTCCGGGTCCATCGAGTGGTCTCCAAGGCTGCAAGAGGCTCAGCTCCCTGGGTCGGCAGGTCCCTCCTCTGGGACAGGAGCCCAGGCCTGCAGCTCCTATCCCAGCACTGCTGTCCTCAGAGGCAAAGGGTCAGGCAGGCAGAAGGGAGTGCCAAGGCCCGGGTCTCCACCTGCCGCCAGTACCGTTGTTTGCACTTTCAGGGCAAAGGAACAAAAAGCACGGAAGTCGGCAGCTGTAGGGCCCTCATCTGCTCATGCCGGAGGCACCCGCAGTTCTGAGAACACTTTTCACCCAGGACTTGTGCACTACAGTAAAGCAGTGACGCTCCAAAGGCGCGCTGACGGTCAGCACTGCTGTTAGAGCAGCTGCTCTTCACTCATTCATCCCCTCAGGGTGGAGAGGTGGAAGGACACTGGCAGGCCCTGCCCCTAGGGGACAGTCCAGAGGAAGGTGTCCCAACAGCACGCTCACAAGGAGGTACAGTGACCACTTCAGGGTCCTCAGTATGGGGCCAGGCCACAGTCCCAGGACCTCATGAGAAGCGGAGTGGGGATACGCGTTCCAGACAAAGGAAGCAGGGGCGGCTCACGGCCGTGGGAAACACAGGAACAAGAGACAAAGCCAGTCCTGAGACCAGAAAGGGGACACAGGTGCCCAGGCATGGTGGCTCATGCCTGTAATCCCAGCATTTTGGGAGGTCAAGGCAGGGGGATTGGTTGGGGCCAGGAGTTCAAAAGTAGCCTGGGCAACATAGGGAGACCCCCGTCTCTAGGAAAAAATTAAAAACGAGCTGGGTGTCGTGTGCCTGTGATCTCAGCTACTTAGGGGGCTCCACCAGCACTGAGGCTGAAAGTGACACCAGGCAGGGAGCCAGAGCACCGCTGAGGCCTGTGAGGGGCCCAGTGAGTGGCCAAAGGACACTGGGGTGACAGAAGAACCACCAGGTAGGATAGGCACCATGAGCAAAAGCCGCATGCTGGCTGTGCCTGGTGATTCTGTGTCTGTTGTAATACAAAACAAAAAAACAAAAAACTGTTGCAGCTAGACACATCTCAGCACTCTGGGAGGCCAAGGTGGAGGACCGCTTGAGGCCAGGGGTGCAAGACCAGCCTGGGCAACACAGTGAGATCCCCCATTGCTATTTTTAAAAAAAGAAAGAGAGAACCTGTGCAGTGTGGATCACTGTTCCCAGGGCCCTACTCGTCCTGGCAATGCACTTACATCAGGACAGAAAGGGGGCTCCAACATGTTTGCCTCCAGCCTCCTGAAGTTGATGTTCTTGAACACGGGGTGCTGCTTCACCCCAGCCGCTCCCTCGCCCCTGCAGCCCAGCCGCTTGCTTGGATTCTTGGTGAGTAACTGCAAGAGGCAGAAATAGAATCCACTTAAGCCTCTGGATAAAAATGAAAACTCAGAACTCCCCTCCATAATAATAACCAAAGGACTCGGGAGGGCAGAAAGCAGGTGCATCTAACAAATAATTTCAAAGCATCAGCCAAACCTCAGGAACTCAGACTTTACTCATTAAATTATGTGATGCTTCACAGAGGAAAGGGGCTAAGGTTTTGCCTTTGAGCTATCAATAAATAAGGGGTTGGCTATGTTATTCTTTAAGCTTAAAAAATTAATCATAAAAATTTGGGGATTTTTAGAGGAAACAGAAACTGTTGTGAATTTCAGAAATACCACTAAGGACCTCAGATGAGGCAAACATTGAGCAAACCGAGTTCTAAAAATATATTCTGAATACTTTGGTATTCTAGTGTATTCTTAAAATGACCAGAAAGTATCTCTTTAGAAAGTATTCCTTACATACACGTTTACAATCATCACAAAGTCAAATAAGCCTTCCTCCACAATTCTTATCAATCAGAAAAAGCAGGGCTGTGCTCAGAAGCAACACATGAAAGACCTGAACCCCTGAAATGTGACCTAGACCCAGGCTTGGGAAACCACAGTCCAGCCACCACAGGCACCAGCTGCCTGGTTTTGTAAACAAGGCTTTATCGGCACCAGCCTTTTGCACTGTATTGGCAGAGCTGAATAGCTGTAATAGAGACCTGCAAAGTCTAAACGCTATTTACCATCTGGCCTTACAGAAAAGTATGCTGGTCCCTGGCCAACTCAACGTCCCAAAGACCAGAAAGCATTCTGGTCTGTGCTTCTATCTCCCACCTCTCAGCTCCTTGCTGGGCTGTGCCTGCTCCAGGGCTGTGTCTACAAAGCTCTTTGGCTCCCTGACTCCTGCTCAATTCTTCAGGTTTTAGCTTTCTAGCCCTCATCCCTGCACTAAATTAGGCTCCCCAACTTTTTTTGCTACAGCCTGAGGGCATCCTCCACCTCTCCTTGATGACAAATATTTCATGCTGAGAATGAGTCATTTGAATGTACCGTTATTGCCAGGCTGTCCTGCTAGACTCAAAGCTTCCTGAAGCTGGGGCTGTGTGACTCTTGCCCACTGTGATTCCCCAGCATCTAGCCAGAGCAGGCGCTCAGTAACAGTTGCTCAGTGCATTTGTTCTTTGCATGCTTTGTTGATTTAAAAGAGATCTGAAGGCTGGGTGCGGTGGCTCACGCCTGTAATCCCAGCACTTTGGGAGGCCGAGGCGGGTGGATCATGAGGTCAGGAGATCAAGACCATCCTGGCCAACATGGTGAAACCCCAAGTCTACTAAAAATACAAAAATTAGCCGAGTGTGGCGGCAGGCACCTGTAGTCCCAGATACTCAGGAAGCTGAGGCAGGAGAATCGCTTGTGCCTGGGAGGTGGACATTGCAGTGAGCCCAGATCATGCCACTGCACTCTAGCCTAGGCGACAGAGTGAGACTCCGACTCAAAATAAAAAAAAAAAAAGTTCTGAAATTAGATGGTGGTCATGGTTGCATGGCTCTGTGAAAATACTAAAATCTGTTGTATTACACACTTCAAACTGATGGACTTTATGACATATGAATTATATCCCAATAAAACTAATATTTTTAAAGATTTGTATGATTCATCCAGGATGAGCTGAATTGCCACAGAGTCACATTCACAAGGGAAATGGTGGTCCAGGGAAGGCTCCACCTCCTGAAGGGGCTCCCTCCAGACACACAGAGCCATGCCCAGAGCGCCCCAAGTGTCATGTCTTGCCATCTATCCCAGGTCAGTGAAAAATCCCAGAAGACGCAGGAGCAGAAAGCCACAAGACCTTGGGGTCTTCCTGCAGGACTCTGCGAGACCCTCAGAGGCCACCCCGGGGGTTGGCTGGCACTGCCCCTGGATCTTTGGAATAACCAGAGTGGGGTGATTTCCTGAGGCTCTGAAAGGCCGTCGTGCACAGGGGAGGACATTGGCAGAGTGAGGAGACCTGCGGTGTCATCCCGATTCTGCCCTCACTTTGCTGAGTGACCTCAGGACTCACAACCTCTCGGGCCTCACCCCTCATCTGTAAGAAGGTGAGGGCAGCCTACAGGATCCCCAGCAGCCTCAACACTCTGACAGGTGAGAGATTCAAAACACCACTGTGGCATCTACTAGTGCCCAAAGCGAGGCCCTGGTCCCCTCAGGGTGGCTTTCTCTGTGTTCTGAGGCACTCGGGCACCCGGAGAGAAAGGACAAGGATGCTGAAAGCCTCTCACGAACCCATGTAGCCGACTGTTCCAACTCGTCCTCGAGCCATCTGCCCTTCGGGGATCTCCAGGGCCAAACCGAGGTCTGAAATCCGGATGTGTCCTGTGTGTTCAAATACGTTATTACACAGGTCACGGGGGCAGCAGTGATACTTTAACAACAATTAAAAAGGGAAAAAAGGCCCCTCAGAAACCATGGATGGAAATAATAGTATTTCATACTCTGGAACAGTAAATATAAAATGATATTTAACCTTTTTCATGTTTAGTAAAATTCCATACAGTGCATTCAGTTTCACTAGTAGCAGGAAAATTTGATTTTTGCCTGGCTATTGATCAGGAAGCTCTTCAATCATAGATAAACCCTTGACAAGACAGAAGCACTGGATTTATTATTTTATGTCATACAGCTTCCAGATATATCAATAAAAATGTAACGAATATTATATCAACTACAGAAGAGTAAATAAACACTTTGTCAGAGTACCAGTACTATATACAGGGACAGCTATGCATGAATGATACGGAGTTTTTCTCTTGAGAACAAATGGTAATAGAGTGGGGGAAATAACAAACAAAATTAAGGTACTTAGGGAACTATATTACGTGTTAATGCCTTGTATATAGGAGGATTTAAATATTTGTTGAATTCCTATGGAACTAACAAATTAGGCCAGACATAGTGGCTCACATCTGTAATTCCAGCACTTTGGGAGGCCAAGGTGGGAGGATTACTTGGGTCCCAGATTTTGAGACCAGCCTGGGAAACATGACAAGATCCTGTCTCTACAAAAAAAAGATGTTTTTAAAAATGAGCTGGGTGTGATGGCACATGGCTATGGTCCCATCTACTCTGGAGGCTGAGGCAGGAGGATCGCTTGAGTCCGGAAGGGTGAGGCTGTGGTGAGTCATGATCACACTACTGCAGGGCAAGAGTGAGAACCTGTCTCAAAAAAACTGTAAAGAAAGTAAGAAATTATCGAAAACATTCTGCTGAGTGTGTAGAAAAATAAGCCAGCCCTGGAAGCGGACACTATCTTCACTTATCCTCAGCTTCTAATATAGTACCCAGGCCTAGAATAGGTGCTCAATAAATATTTATTGGCAAAATGAATGAACAACCAATAAATGTTTGCTAAAAACTAAAAATATGCAACATGCCCTCCAAGGTACTGTAGTCATTTTAAAATAGTCTACATGATGCTTTAGAGAGGAAAGCCGGCCTCTGACTCGGCTGCATACACATAATACACCACCCCCTGCCCTTGCTGCGTGCCCACCCTGGGAGGTGGGAGAGTACAGGGGTGAGGAGCACAGATTCTGTAGCCAGATGGAGTGGGTCTGAGTCCTGGCTCTGCCATTTACTATCACGTCTCAGTTTCCTCCCCTCGTACAGATGCATTCTTTCAATAATCCAGACTTCATTTTCTTTTTCTTTTTTTTTTTTTTTGTAGAGACAGGGTTTGGTCATGTTGCCCAGGCTGGTCTTGAACTCCTGGGCTCAAGTGATCCTCCCACCCCGGCCTCCCAAAGTGCTGGGATTACAGGCATGTGACACTGTGCCTGGCCAGCTTTCATGTCTTTTTTATTTAAGTAGAGTGCTAGCATGTTGTGACTTTTTTTTTTTTTTTTGCATCATTGACTTATTTTTCTTATAAAAATGGATTTTTAAACTGAGAAATGCAACTTAAAACTACATTGAAATACCAATTCCCAGCTAACAAACTGACAAAAGCTCCAAAGTTCGAGAACTCGGTCTGCTGGCGAGGCTGTGGGGAAACAGGTGCTCTTGGGCACTGCTGGTGGGAATGCAGACGGGACAACACCCTGGAGGGGAATCTGGTAATATCTGGCAAATTGCATATGAATTCACCCACTTCTAGGCCACTATCAAGGATACATTCAACAAACTAGGAAATAACATGTGCACAAGGCTCTCCATCGCGGCACTAATGGAAACAGCACGAGTGGAGATGACACGCCCACCAGCAAGGGCCGTGCAAACAGGACAGGTGCGCCTGCAGGAGGCACAGCAGACGGCGGAAGCGCTTCACGAGTGTTGCAGAGCCATCTTTGCCACAGATTCAGTGAAATAGCCAAGTGGAGGACAATACGTGTGGCCTACCACTTTATTTAAGAAACAAGTGGGGAACTTGCTTATATAGAATATGTGTATGTCTATACATATACCGTATGTAAATGAAGGAATAAAATACGAGTTAAAATAATTACTTGGGGGTGGTCAGGGATGGAGGGATGGAATCTAGACATCTCTCAATACATTCTATTTTGTGGTTTTATCTTTGGAACCACATAAATGTTTTACATAATTATAACATTAAAAAATTAGATTGCTAAAAATTGAAAGCAAAATTAAGAAAATGAACCTAATGGTGTATCCAGCTGGTGGTTTAACCACATAGAAGGGAATGATACTGAGTGACTTTTTTTTTTTTTTTTTTGAGACAGAGTCTCACTCTGTCACCCAGGCTGGAGTGCACTGGCATGATTTCAGCTCACTGCAACCTCCACCTCCCAGGTTCAAGCGTTTCTCCTGCCTCAGCCCCTCAAGTAGCTGGGACTACAGGCATGCACTACCACGCCTGCCTAATTTTTGTATTTTTAGTAGAGACAGGGTTTCACCATGTTGGCCAGGCTGGTCTTGAACTCCTGACCTCAGGTGATCCACCCTCCTTTGCCTCCCAAAATACTGGGATTACAGGCATGAGCCACTGTGCCCAGCCTCTGAGTGACTTTAAATTAATTTGAGTGAACAACCCGAGAGCCAAAGAACTTTTGCTAATGACTAAAATAATTGCAAAGAAATATTTTACTGTTTTTTTTGTTTGTTTTTGTTGTTGTTTGTTTGTTTTTTGAGATGGAGTCTCATTCTATCACCCAGGCTGGAGTGTAGTGGCGCAATCTTGGCTCACTGAAACCTCTGCCTCCCAGGTTCAAGCAATTCTCCTGCCTCAGCCTCCTGAGTAGCTGGGATTAGAGGTGCACTGCCGTGCCCGGCTAATTTTTGTATTTTCAGTAGAGACGGGGTTTCACCATATTGGCCAGGCTGGTCTTGAAATCTTGACCTCAAGTGATCCACCTGACTTGGCCTCCCAAAGTGCTAGGATTACAGGTATGAGCCACCATGCCTGGCCTACAATTTTTTTTAATTAGCCAGATATGGTGGCCCATGCCTGTATTCCCAGCTACTCACGAGGCTGAGGCAAGGTGGATCACTAGAGCCCTGGAGGTCAAAACTGCAGTGAGGCATGATCGCACCATAACAATTAAAATAGCCTTAATCGCTGCTGGATGTGGTGGTGCATGCCTGAAACTCCAGCTACTCGGGAGGCTGAGGCAGGAGGGTCACTTAGGCCCAGGAGTTTGAGGTTGTAATTGTGCCACAGTCACACCCGTGAGTAGCTACCGCACCCAGCCTGGGTAGCACAGAGAGACTCTGACCCTAAAAAGAATATTAAAAAAAGAAAACTATGGTCATCGACATCAGAGGACTGTGGTTCCCAAGAGAAGAGACAGTGAACTGGCCCAGCAACCATCCTGGCGTCCCACCTGGGAGCGCCTTTCAGATGGTGGCACAGGAGGGGAACCTGGGCAGAGCAGGGGTCTTGCTAAGTTAGCTAGGCAGGGGTTAGCACTGGGGAAGGACGGCTCACCTCAAATGTGTGGGGTAAAGTTCTAAAGAAGAGGGAGTCACACAGAAAAATCTCCTAAAAACACAGAAAAAGGTTATCATTGTGCTCCCCTGCCTTGTTTTCACTTCTGATCGTTTCTTATGATTCTCCCTTTATATTTGTTTATGTTTCTGAGCAATCACACATACACACAATTCCCTGCTTTGTTTACACAAAAGGGAGCACACTACACACACGCTCTGCACCGCACCCTGTTCCAATCAACCACATAGCTTGGATATCACTCCATTTTACATACAAAGCATGTTCTACCTACCCTTGTTAAGTCACCTAACAACTTAATAAGTGAGCAGCTTTGCTTAGCGCTCGCCCCACTCAAGCCACCTCTGGTTAGCAGCACCCCACCTGGAATGAACCACAGGCTAAGCCAGGAGCTACGGACACAATCTTGGACAAGTTTGATTCCTAAATCTTGGTATCACCTTCAGTAAAATGAGAATTCCAGTACCCTCCTTCCTCAGAGGGCGGGATGTCATACATGAATTAGATAAGCATGAAAGCATCTGGCAGAGGTGTAAAAGGAGACTAGCATTCCAAGTCCCCTGCAACTGCCCTCAGTCTCTGCATTAGACGCCTGTCTTCTTCTTGGCAGGAGCCACTATGACCCTGCCATATGCGCTCTACTAGACTGTAAAACCCTTCTTTTTTTTTTTTTTTTTTTTTTTTT